TCAGCGCTGTCCAGGTGAGCCGGGCGCGGGCCTGACCCCAGGCCGGAGTGGCCTCGCTGCTCCTTAGGGCTCAGAATTGGGGCCAAACTGGGGAGCCCTCGGGACAGGGTGGGGTTCCTGCTCTCCCACAGCCTCCTGTCCTCACCTTGGGAGGGGCTCATGGGGGGGGCGCCTGGGGAGCCCCCCGTCGCACCATCCCAGCTCTGGGGCCTGGGAGGTGCCCGGTGTGGCCCAGCCTCGGTCGGGAGTGGCGTCCTCCTCACGCTGGGTTTGGGCGGATGGTAGCCTCTCCCTGGGCAGGGGGAGGAGGGGGGGCTCATAGGATCCCCTGGGGCTGTTGAGGGTCCGAGTCTGAGAATGGCGTTCTGGGTGCAGTCTGGGCTGGGCCGCCTCAGGGTAGACGCCGTCCCTCTCTGTGCTTGGCTTTCTTTGGGAGCGGAGCCCTCAGAGGGTCAGAGAAGGGGGGCTGGTCCCTGAGGCGGCCCCCCTCCTGGTGACCCCTCTCGGAGCTGCCCTGCCCACCGCCCCCACAGGTGCCCCCATGAACCCCTTCACCTCCTTACCCCCCAGGAAACTGAGGCCCAAGTAACTCAGGCCCAGGCCCCTCCTCCTGGGACCTGAGGCTCTAACCAGGTAGGAGGTGGCAGCTGGGCCCCTCCCAGGTGGGCACTGGGGTATTACAGGTGTGCCTCTCCGGCCTTCCCCACTAAGGTGCCCCCGGGACCCCCTCCCCCTCCCTTTCCCCCTCCTCGGGGAGGTGGGGGTACAGAGCTTCTCGGGGTCTCAGGCTCGGCCTCCCCCAGCCACTCACTCCCGAGGGGTGGGGTGGGGAGCAGTTACATGGCAGCCCGTGTGGAGGGACCCTGGGTCTGCAGGGGCAGCAAGGCCCCAAGAGTGAGGGAGCCCAGAGTCTGGGAGGAGCCGGCTGTCAGAGGTGGGACACACCCCAGTGGAGGTATGCGGGTGGGGCCGGCCGTGGCCTTGGACTCTGCCTGTGGGTCCCTGGGCCTGGGCGGCATGTGGGTGTGTCCTGCTCTCCCAGTGGACATACCTGTGCCTCTGTATGGGTGCTCACATGTGTGTGCAGGCGTGTCTGTGCCCTGTGGAGTGGGCATACCTGCGCCTCTGTATGGGTGCTCACATGCATGTGCAGGCGTGTCTGTGCCCTGTGGAGTGGGCATACCTGCGCCTCTGTATGGGTGCTCACATGTGTGTGCAGACGTGTCTGTGCCCTGTGGAGTGTGTGTCTGTGCCTGTGGATGTGCTCACACACGTGTGCAGGCGTGCCTGTGGCCTGTGGAGTGGGCGTGCCTGTGCCTGTAGGTGCGTGCTCACACACGTGTGCAGGCGTGTCTGTGGCCTGTGGAGTGGGCATACCTGTGCCTCTGTATGGGTGCTCACATGCATGTGCAGGCGTGTCTGTGGCCTGTGGAGTGGGCATACCTGTGCCTCTGTGTGGGTGCTCACATGCATGTGCAGGCATGTCTGTGGCCCATGAAGTGGGCGTGCCTGTGCCTGTAGGTGCGTGCTCACATGTGTGCAGGCGTGCCTGTGGCCTGTGCAGTGAGCAGGTGTCTGTGTGGGCGGCAGGTTCCCCTGTTGCTGAGCCTGGGACAGGGTCCGAGCAGGTTCCGTCTGGGTGTCGATGAAGACCGCAGTGTGGACCGAGCGTCGGGTTAGAAAGACCAACCAGACCCGCTTCCCGGGCGCCGGCTGCTGGGACGGGCGTGGCCATGAGCGCCTGCCCCAGGGGTGTGTGTGCAGTTGGCGCCGCAACTTCCCAGCTGGGCACGGGGTGGGGCCTGAG